TTTATACATATATTGCGTATATATATATATATATATATGTGTATTGCAAATGATAACTATTCACTGGCCTTCAAGAACGCTGTCCTGGGATAGTTACCCCTTACTAATCATTATTCCAGTGACGTCGCATTATTTGAATACACCATACATGTTTTTTTTTTGCATAATGCTATATAGAACATACATTATAAAACTATAATGCGTATTGAATAGCAATAAGTCAATGTCATATGAAATGCAAATTCTTTAACGGCGTAAAATCAATAAGATCATTAATTTAATTTATGATGTTTGTTTTATCTTTTTGTTAAACCATATCAAAGGTTTTCATTATATGGCACTGATATCCAGCAACTTCTTAACTTAGCAATAATACTTAATAAACGTTCATTATTATGTATTTTGACACGGATGCAACATGCGAAAATAGCATGACATGTAATTGTCGTGCCATGTGATTTATTGGCAAAACATACGGTGGAAGTCCATGGGTCTTTCGCATTCTGTTCGATGAGGTGAGGGGTCACAGGACAATCACTGGTAGAGCCCGAAGAAGAGGAAAAAAGACTGGTTCTTTGGGAAGATTTGGCACCCTTCTGGACAAAAACATGCATTTATAGAGAATTTTCCTAGACAAACCAGTGAATTTTCCAAATCTATGTTAGTTGTACCCTATATAGGGTAAGTTCAAGCACTCCTGAAAACAAAGGCAATTGGTATCATCCTCCTTTTTTCACTAAGAACAAAGTAAAACGAGAAAAGAGCACATGGTGAGTTTTAGGGGCAAAAGAGGGAAATACCCCAGTGAGATTACTCTCAAATGGATTCCACTACCCTGCTCAGATGGATTCAAAGTGGTGCCCCCCAGGTATAAGTTGGTTCATAGCTCTAGTTAAACATCTTAACTATTACAGATCTATCTTTCATAAACTCTAGTTGCTACAGTTCTTGGAGTTATGTTCACCAACTTAGTGATTCCAAACTGAGGCACCACCACCTTGTGGTTTTTTGAATCCAATGTTGGTCGTCTCCTCCCCTCAACCCCACTGTCGATTGGTCGAGGCACCTGCTGCCCGAGGCACCTGCAGATCAGCAGTCGTAAGGATGAAAAAATACACAGCATCTGGATATCCCTATGATATCACCATTAAATACCAAGTATATAGATTATTTTCCACTTGTTCTCCCAATTTTTGATGTTATGGAAAACTATGTTCCTATCTATCTATCTATCTATCTATCTATCTATCTATATGTATATACAGACAGTATATAAATAAAAAAATAAATATATATATATATATAATGTGGGGAAGTTTTTTCACAACTCTCTAACCTGAAACTTGCGGTCATTTGGTGATAGTGGGTTTAATACCTTTCCACCATTCCAGTGGAGGACGTCGTGAGGGCTGAAGTGGTTGGAACATGTTGGAACACCGAAACGCCCAAAGGCGGCCTAAAGGTTTGTAAAAACAAAGGTTAAGTGGTTGGAAAACCTTAGGAATATCATTTCATAACCACCTGGTTGTAAAACAACCTGGAATCCTTTGAGGTGGATATGAAATGATCTTCCTCCGTTTACGGCTGCTGAGTCGTGTGGTCGCGTATGCTGAGTCGTTACCCACAGTCGTTGGGAACCGACCAGACCAAGCCACGTTGTGTTCGAAGTGAAATGCCCCACTGAAAGATCATCCAACGCAGTGAAACATCCCCTAATTACAAACGATATGTCCGCAATATGTCCCACTTGATCAACATTTGATATATCATTGGTATATCATGGTATATATAATATATGTATATATATCTATATATATCAACCAATCCCTCCATGAACTATGGAACTATGGGGTCGACCAATCTCATGCATCAAATATCATCGCCATTGACCACTAAGAACCCACCAAACAGCAACATAAAGCAACTCCTCAATGGCACTAGATTGCAAATGATGGCACAGCGACAGGCAAATTATTCTACTATTATATAAACAAGTTTTTGCATTGCCCTTTACGGCAATACACTTCAATCATCAACCTGTGCTACATGCTGCGCAGTGCTCAACACCACGGGGCCCAGACTCCGCAGCCTGAACCCAACATCCAACACCGTCTGCGATGTCAAAGCCCATGGATTTCACCCTATTTTCAAACACTTGAGATGTGGAACTTCTCAAATGATATCATCTGGTTGATGGTATTCCCACCCCTCTGAAAAATATGATTGTCAGTTGGGATGATTATTCCCAAAATATGGAAAGTCATAAAAGCCATGTTCCAAAGCACCAACCAGTCATGGTACAAACATGGCATATAGAAAACAGCTACAACGCCTCCAGCGACTCCCATTAAGGACATGACTTAAATTCTTTGGTGACCTCGACACAGCCGCTACTCTGATATATTTTTGTTGGGAGGTTGCTATAAAGTGCAACAAAAGCCATTTTGGGAATGATGACCCTTTCCATATCTTTCCATCACAGCAAATTCCGGAAAATGAAGATATCCTGAGATGATCAAACATGGCTAGTTGGAATTTCCCACATTTTTTAACCATTCATAACTGGTTTGTGGTGCAATAACCGTCTTGAAAAATATGAAAGTCAATGGGAAGGATGACATCCCATATATTATGGAAAAGAAAATTGATGATTTGAAACGACCAACCAGTACTGAAAATGGTTGTTTATAGTTGATGTATTTACTGATGTTTTCCAATTTTTATGTCTGAAAAATGATGATGTTCGATAGCAAACTGTTAGTTTACCGGAGGGTTAACCATTCATAACCATTGATTTCCAATGAATTGTCCCTATGCCTGGACCCACCAGGCCTTCGCGAGGAAGTTCACCAACTTTTGCCACTCCTGGTGGGAAAACCACCGTGGGTTCAAAAGCCGGCCATCTCGAAACAGACCTCTTCAAAATAGGAAAATATATGGACAATATCGGAAATACATACGGGAAAATATATGAACATAACTGAACATATAGGAACATATAGGAACATATGGGAAGATATGGGGCAGTCCACTATACATGGAGGTTTATAGCTGGGAAAATCATCCATAAATATATAAATATATATATATAATGGATTTCCAAGACACAATGTTTGATTACCAAAGGGTATCTGTTCGTAAGAGATTCCAATGGTCCAAAGTTTTGAAACATTTAAAAAAAAAGGTAAAATTACTTTACTTCGTGTGATCCCCACCATGACATTTATACATTTTGTTACTGGCAAATCTTCTGGCATTCTATCTGACATATTTTCTGGCATTCGATCTGGCATTCTATCTGGCATATCTTCTGGCATTCTACCTGGCATATCTTCTGGCAGATGTTCTGGCATATCTTCTGGCATATCTTCTGGCATATGTTCTGGCATATCTTCTGGCATTCCATCTGGCATTCTATCTGGCATATCTTCTGGCATATTATCTGGCAAATCTTCTGGCATTCCATCTGGCATTCTATCTAGCATATCTTCTGGCATATTATCTGGCAAATCTGCTGGCATTCTATCTGGCAAACATTCTGGCACTTTATCTGGCATATCTCTGGCATTCTAGCTGACATTCTATCTGGCATTCTATCTGGCATACCTTCTGGCATTCTATCTGGCATATCTTCTAACATTCTATCTGGCATATCTTCTGGCACTCTATGTGGCATATCTTTTGGCGTGGATACTCGCGGTTGAGGTCCGGCAGGGAACACTGGGCGTGGATGGTCGTGGTTGAGGTCCGGCAGGGAACACTGGGCGTGGATGGTCGTGGTTGAGGTCCGGCAGGGAACACTGGGCGTGGATGGTCGTGGTTGAGGTCCGACAGAGAACACTGTGGATCGCGAGTCGCAGTTGAGCAGGAGGACGAGGAGGACAACGAGAGGAGGAGGACAACGAGAGGAGGAGGAGAGGAGAGGAGGAGGAGGAGGACCAGGCAACTGACATAAAATCTATCAACCCTCACCTGGCAGGTGGGGAAAAACAGTGAAGCAACATGACATACTAGGTTTTTGACACAAACAAACATGTATCACAAATTATTGTCCCCAAATACGGTATATAATACTTCAAACCCAAGGGGTTAAATTGCACTATGTAACACTATTGGTCACTATTGGTAGATCCTGGGCAATCTCGGGTGCACTGTTAAAACACACAAGCATCAAAAGTTGAAAAGGATAGACTTCTTTCTGTTGCGTTACAGAACTGCTTCTGTGAGCTGCCGGGAACCACAAGCTGCCTCTTGCTCATCAAGACCAAGCCTTTTGGCTGAAGCTGACTGGAAGAGGTCGCAAAGCTGATCACCCACAACATCTGAGCAGTTGCGGTTTTGCAAGCCTCGATTCAAGCTTGAGTTTCTGCATCTCCGGTGGCAGTGGCAAATATTTGCTTCCCACCCTTGGCCTTGAAAGCAGAACCCTGCTGCGAAAGCTTCGTAGACAGAATCGCATTTTGCACCTGCTAGTTAGTATGTCAAAATTACTGCCAAACATTAGAGCACTAGATCAGCCATCTGCAATACACCAACAAAAGGACACCTATGCATATCCTGACTGGAATCCGAACCCCCTAAGAAAAAAATCCTCCACACGGCCCATGAAGTTGTTGGCTCTATCCCCTGATCAAAAGTCCTCAAGTCGTGGGCTATCAGATTTACAAACCAGTTCCCTAACGAGAGCATCCGGATCTGTGATGGCTGGTTAACCACCCAATCGGTTTGAATACCGCATCAAAATCGGAGATTAATGGGATAAATCTCAATCTTTTGAGGATCAATCTTAATTTCAACCTTTCCGGTTATCTGATGCTTGACTCTTCCAAATTTTACTCAAATCTACTTACCATGAAATAGTTGCATGATGCCCCGAAACCAAGCTAAGTTGGTGAAATCATATGACTGGCTCAACTATGTTAACTATGATTACGAAACATAGATCTGTAGCGAAAAAAACGGTTCTGAGGGGGCACCACCTTGCCTAAGTTGCTGTAAAACCACATCAGCACAAGTCCTGGATAGACTACTGGGGACCACCGGGGATAGCACGTGTTCTGCATTTCATTGTGTAGATAGTCACCCAGTCGAATTATTTTGAACTGATAACCCAGCTAAATACCAGAAAACAACATGTTTTTCAGAGATATTCAAAAGTTCATTGTTGTGTTAACCTCCATGTTTTTTACACATTTAAACTATGCAAGGGTGAAACCCCCAGTTACAAGTAAACCATGGAGTACACCCAGATAAAAATCCACCAAGTTTGCTATCATAAATCAGCGATATATAGATCCCATGAATTTTCTCACCATTTGTCTATGGTTAAATCGTAGTTTTCCTATGGTTTTCCTATGGTTTTCCCATGGTTTTCCTATGCTTTCCTCAGCAACCCGAGTATGCAACCCGACCATGGTTAAGCTCCTGAGCCGCCTTGGCCGGGTCGAAGAGTTCAGCAAAGCCAGCACCTGCGGCCACATGGAGAAATAATGTGATCAATTTTGCTGGATATATAAAAATCTGTATCTATATATATATATATATATACTGTATATATATATATGTGTTGATTATATGCTGTGTATATATATAAATAAAAATAAATAAATAAATATATATATATTATAATATAAATATGTGTGTGTGAATGGATTGATGGACATGGAGATATAAAGTTTTTGCGACTCGTTTGCAGTTCTACATGGTTATTATCATGATTATAAATATCATGAAACACAAATGGGGTGACCTGGTATTTTGGGCCATACCAAACTTTGGATGTATAGTGGTTACAGTAACTAGAATAGGTGGATTTGTAGGCACTGTAATCTAAAGTGGTTGGATTGAACAATGTTCACCACTATACATGGATAAATCCCATGGATTTATAGTGTTTAGTCTTGCTGGATATATCAGTAAGTAAATGTTTTGTTCATGGAAATATTGGGTCTACAATTGATTGGTGATGCATAACATATATGTATATATATTTATATATATATAGGTTTTGAACTATAAGAACAAGGATTTTTGATAGATACACATATATATATATATAAAAATGTGTATATATATATAAATGTATATATATATATATAAATGTATATATATATATATAAATGTATATATATATATATAAATATATATGAGCAGTCAAATGTGCACAAATTCATTTGAACTGTTTATATCAGATTTTGTACCTTTCAGTAGGTTGTCTATGATGAAAGCAAAGGATTTTGCATCTCTCGCCTCTCTGTTTGTGTTGTGACCAAGAGCTCTATGCATTGGCCCTGGACTTGATCCTGGCTGTGCACTTGGTGTGTATAGATGCTCCAACTCTTCACAGTCTTTTGGCATCTGCAAAGTATAGTCGTCGCGGGATACATCGAGCACAAAATGCCGACTCACGAGGTGCTTGATCACTTTCATAATTCTTTTTCACAGCTGCACCAGCTCGGGATTGTGGAGCCTCAAGGTGCCCGCGGATCTTCTGGTTTTCGAGAGCATGCCTTTCTCTACTACCCTGTGTAGCAAACCTCGTCCAAGCGTACTGAAAGTCAGCGCATGTAGTGAACCACTATCTTCTTCCGGACTTTCAGGGATACACCTGATGCACGTCCGCGCGAGAGAGATCTCTTTGCGCAGAATGGAACATATCAGATTCTTGCATTTATGATCCATCTGCAATCTGAACGTATCTGGTACCCTCTGGTAAACTAACATAGCTATGGAAAATCACCATTTTTAGTGGGAAAATCCACTATTAATGGCCATTTTCAATAGCAAACTGTTAAATTACCAGAGGGTAAAGAACTGGCGCAACTGGTGCACCAGTGTAGCATTGTCGAAAGTCCAACGGGACGATCCGAAATATTCAGATTGGTGGCCGTTACAGGAAATTTTACATATCTTTAAGATGTCCCTACTTTCAAAGTTCATATCTTTAGGAATGGCTTAGTAAGTACATATACATATCCAGTTACATCCATATCCAATTGATCATCATATCATCCCATATCCATATGGCTATGGATCACCTAAAAACACCTTTTTTAGGGGGATGAACATCCATCAATCCCAGCTATGTTGATGTTCACATCCAGGGCTACAGGGTTTTGACCCATAGCAGCTTAGCATCCCATAGCCATATCCAATATCCAACTGTTGTTGGCTTCACCACATGGATATGGCTCCACCACGTCTTCCAACCCAGACACTGGTGGCAGGTCGATACTCATCCTCTGCGCAGCCGAAGGTGCCGATGGAACTTTCGCCCGCGCACGCCGGGCCGTACCTCTGTGGTGACGAGGTGACCAGGTGACACAAAGAGAGGTGCAACCTGAAACCCATCAAAAATGGTGGTTTTACTATGAAAAATAGTGTTACTTACTATGAAAAATTGTGTTTTTTACTATGAAAAATGGTAGTTTTACCATGAAAAATGGTGGTTTTACCATGAACAATGGTAGTTTTACAATGAAAAACAGTGGTTTTACTAACTATATATATATATATATGTGTGTGTGTTTAAATCGTAAAATGATGGTGTAGCGAATAGAAATTGTGTTTTAACTATGGTGGTTTCACATTTACACGTGGGATCAATGCATAACAATTGGCTGTTAACTAATTAAGTTTGGGGTTTAACAAGCCAAAACATGTGTTTTACTAGTAAACTTGGGGGTTAACTATAAAATTATAAATATACATGCACAACTAATATCAAGTCATTACCACCAAGAATTGGGATTGTACGAAACACACATGTGATTTCAGGTAAGCAAATTCGGGATACATGACCGACACTTGGACAAAGCCACCGGGGGTGGTGCCCCCCAGGATCCTCCATGATTCTCCCATGGATTGCGGGACTTTCCAGCGGTTTTCATGTTTGATTGCCAGATGTCCCTATTATCCCACATGTGTTTTTTCGATTCGATCATTCTATCCCCATATGTTCATGGTATTTATATGTATTTATCTTGGTTCCCCCCCCCCAAAAAAAAAAGAAAAACAAACACCTATTAATAAAACATATTCACTATAGATTCCCCATTCCTAGTGGATATCCCATTAAGGGAAATAAAACCAACATCATCACTCAGGGCCACTGATCTGGCTCGTTGTAGCCTGGGCTACAGCTGGGAGGTCAAATCACCTTCCTATTGTGGATTCACCATGGGTTGGAGCAACGACACTGCTGAGTCTACATGTGTTGCAACATGTTGAAACTCCAAATTCTCAACTGAGAAGTCTGAATACAAGAAAAAATACAACTATAAAATGCAAGTTTATTACTCTAAAAGATCCTTCAGGTTGCATAGCTCACAGCAATCCCTTCCTCGGAAAAATGGAGCATCATGTATTAGCTTCAGTTTGTCTTTGCTCTCTCTCTCTCTCTATCACCATTTCCAGGAGCCTAGGTCGATCCACTGCCTGGGACCGTCACCGGAGCAAAACATATTTTCATGGACCTGCTGCCATGAAGAAAAGGGCTTTGTCCAATGAAGTAACCCAAAAATTCGGAGAAAAGTGCAAATGGACATGGGTATATACATTTGCACACCCCTTTTCCAGACAAACCCAAGTTTGATCCTTAAAAAAAACGTTCTCGGTCAACTGCCAGTGTGTTTTTTTAGCTCAAAATCGTCATCATTGCTTCCAAGCAGCCCATGATATACTCGCTGCCCAGGTTGAAGAAATCTGAGCGGCTGCGAGCGGCTGCAAAACTCAGGGCATTTGGAGAATCATCAATGCGGTAGAACACCACTGACATAGGACATATGGGATAGATCAACTGGGACACATAACAGTTTACTGAAAAACATACTTGAAAACACCATTGAGTTTATGAACCACCATATTCAAATATATTTAAATACCATTTAGCAAAGTCTAAGTTACTCTACTAAGTCTCAGTGACTGAACCATTGTTATACCGTTCTACCCGGGATAAGCCAATGGGAGCATCATCCACAAGGTGACGCCTCCAAGGTTAGAATTTTGCTTTAGAAACCCATTAAGTATAAGATATCCACGATAAGCCAGAATTAACCATAGTTACCCTAGTTATAAACCGACTTAGCTATCGAACGGGGGCGCCACCTCGCAAGTAAGTGTGATGTAAGTTAAAATGATCAGAAAATGGCTATGGGTCGAACCACTTTGGGCACCCAATTCTGATTTTTTGGTGAATGCTACGATCCATTTTCTGATGGCTGGAATGACATCACTGTTTGGAGAGGAAAACAATACCTGCACCCATGGAAAAAAGAGGAGAACAATCGGCCCCGTCAGCTTATAAATTAATTATAGATAGTTAAGGTAATGTTGTAGTGATAAACCCATACATTTGTTGAATTCTGTTGATGTATTGAAGTGTGTCAGGATTGTGTCCTCTGCCACCGGAACGTCCTGACAACTTCCGCCAATCCCTCGATTGGTCGCGCCAGTTCTGGAGGTTTCAACCCCCAACAGGTCACCAGCGTTTGCCCCACACCAGACCGTCATAGTGAAGCATCTGAGAAACTGGTGGGTTTCCCTTTGCCATAGGATCCATGTATGCTATATATGGTGACATTATGTGACATTTACCATCAATATACCCCAAATGTTAGCATATATACCATACATGGATCCTATGGGTTTGCTCAGTTTGCTCTGACCCATTAAAGATACTTCATCCGTATCTTTCAGCAAGTTGCAAGTTCAAAGCACTGGCCGTCTACAAGCCATGGTCCGCCTCTGGTACTCAAACATGGCTGGCTGGGACATCCCATATAAATGAAGGTTTATTAGCTGGAAAATCATCGAATTACATGTTTTTTCATTGCCATGTTTGATTACCAAAGAGTAGATACCCTCTGGTAAACTAACATAGCTATGGAAAATCACCATTTTTCATGGGTAAATCCACTATAAATGGCCATTTTCAATAGCTATGTTAAATTACCAGAGGGTACCCTTCACCAATCAGTGTACCCATCATGGTACGACCAACAAAGTGGTGCTTAGATGTGCTTGCATCTCCGGCTGGTTGCATCCACCAACTTAGCCATTGGGACCTGGGGAAACACCCCATGTATATCATATTGCTGATTACAACCCATGATATTCCGATTGATTTCCATCATATACACGATGTCCCAATATTGTTGGGTAAATCCGCCATTAATTCCTCTTGATGACTCTCAGCAAATCCAAGTATATACTTTAAAATCACCATGCTATTCATGTCTCTTGATTACCCTCAGGTAAATCAAACATGGCAATTGAACATCCCTTATTAATGCAAGTTTATAGCCGGGAATTTCATCTAAAAGTGGTGGATTTTCCATTATCTTTTATCACTATATAGATCAAGTCCCATAAATATCTTCACTTTTGTTGGTCCAATGCCTATTCACTACCGTAAACATTCAGAAAATCACCATAAAACAAACATGTCTATCCATTTCTCTTGGTGAATCCTGCCAAGATGTGTTCAAATCACCTAAAAATTCATATTGTGATGGCAACATCATCTATTGATTTTTCTTTGGGGTGGGGGAATTCATCGACATAAAACCACCACCATTTTCCCAACCTCCAAGCGTTTAACCGCCACGGCTTCGAGGCACTGAAATTCTTGGGGACTTTGGTGCCCCAAATCATCGGCGTGAAGCTTCGCGTGGCCTTCGCAGCCACCTGCGTATGTTGGGCGGTGGTTATGGTTTCTATATGACTATGCTATGGTTTCAAAAATTAATAGTCACAATATTATGGTTAATTATGGTGATTATGATTAATTATGGTGATTATCACAATGGTGATTAATTATGGTGATTAATTATGAAACCATAGCATATATGGTGACTATTTCTATATGGTTTATAATTATGATTAATTATGGTGATTAATTTAATATCATAATATGATGATATAATTAGATGCATGAAAAAAATAGTTTAGTAAGAAATGCATGTTTCAATCTATTATTATGATAGTGATATATTACAGCTAATGCACCATAATATCATAGTTATGGTTACTATAATTATAATTAATCACTAGTCACTATAGGTGTAGTATAGTTTGTATAATATATAATGATAGTATACTAGTTTTTTTAGATAGTCATTAAAATCCACGTGAGCTAATTATAGCTGTATCTACAGGTATGGCCATTTATTTGTTCTGACTGGTTATTTCAATGGGATTATAGATGCTATAAATGGGGTTATTTCAGTACCTATATAACTGGTATAACTTGGGGCCATAACTGTAATTGTTATCCGTTTTTTCTGGGGTTTTATCTGGTTTCCGAAACGGATTTTGGATGGTTTACATGGTTTTCGATTGTTTTCCTATGGTTTCCTATGGTTTATATGGTTTTTCCTATGGTTTCCTATGGTTTTCCTATGGTTTTCCTATGGTTTTCCTATGGTTTTCCTATGGTATCCAAAAAAAAAACATTGGCTCGTTGGCGTCGCTGTTGGCTGTGCACCGCGGACGATCGGCGACGATCTCCTGAGGTCAAAGGAGTCTTACGTGGGCGAGCCTGGCAGAGGGAACCTTCAATGCAAATGTATATTATATATAATATATAGTTATCTATTTATGTATATTATGTATATTTATGTATTTATTTGTGTATTCATTTAAAAAATATTTATAAATGCGCCGTTTTTTTTAAATCATTCAAATTAGAACATCATTTATGCCATGTTTGATTAGTGAAGGCAACATGGGTTGGTCTGAAAATAAGGTACCTTCAATTCCAGCGGGGCTATCATCATTATTCCCTATCATTCCTATCAAAATTGCCATCTGAAGATTTGTTGGTAGTATGTACAAATTTCAATCAAACTCACATGCGCATAGTGGGTTGTTGTTTCTACAATTTCTGGGCAACACAAAGCCAAAAGTACACCAGGGTGGAAAACTCATGGTTTCCGGTTAGGAAAAGCATTCATAGTGGGTTTCCCACATCGTTTTGTATGTTTGAACGAGGTGGGGCCCCAAAATGTTAGCCAAGTTGATGAAATAACATCTTATAGCTATGAAAAGTATTGATAAGTGGGGTTTATAGATGTGAAGTTGGTTGTAACCACAATCAGCGGGGTTTTCTTCGTACCAATAATCTGTTAGTTAAATGGTTTCTTGTAAACCCAAGATGGCATTCACTGGGTTGTACCTCCACAAGTAGATTTCCCAGCCACCGGGACACAAAAACATCAACTCGGCCAATCTAGGTTATAAACCCATAGTAGTCCCATTTATGTTCATTTTATACCCACTATATAGCCCATTATTGTTGATAATGTCCCGTTCCCCACGTGTATTTTGGATATCTATATTTGGGCTGGTCCAAAAACATCAAATCAGAACTGGCACAGCTCACGCGAGCTCACGTCTCAGTGCTCGGCTGGCCTAGATATCCCACAAAATCATGCAAAATCCACAAATATCAATGGGAATTTCAGGATCCTAAAATGGAGGTACTGTGCCATATAAGGCCATATTTTGTGGAGATATTGTCCTACATAGGCCTTATATAGGCCTTAGATATGGTAAGTACCTCCAATCAAGCGTGGCTGGTGGGAAATCCGCACACTGGAGGCTGGGAAAATCGTCGAAGTAAATGGTGTATTTTCCCATTAATGGTGTTTGATGGCCGGAAGGTATGGCAAAACAAATCAAGCACCTACCAAACCAAGGTTCACCCGGCATATCCGATCCCAAAAACTGGTTGGTTAAGATACTATACACTTATTATTTGTCAAAACCATTCCCAATCAGCCAGGATCTGTCCAATCAAATATGATTTACCAATTATATCCCCATATGTTCGAAGGCTAAACACTCAAAACTAGGAAACAAAACAGCTATAATTATTGATGGCTGAAGCCAGTGACAGTTAAAGAATGTTAAAGAATTAAAAAGTCGGGTCTGTAAATTTTGGTGTTTTTCCCATTGATTTCAATTATATACCCACTTAATAGATCTTAATAGCCCATGATTGTTGATAATTTCCTATGGTTTTCGGTGGTAAAAACATGTAAAAACCACATCACCAACCACAGGGGCGCCTCTGGGTGCAAGTGGCTCATGTCCACTTTGGTTGCCTTCGGATTTGGAACTGGCCATGGCCAATATGCTACAAGGGCTACATAGTGCTAGTATGTAATTAGTGATCGTGATATATGCATGTATACATATAGATACACACACACACATATATATATATATATTGATAGATATAGATATAGATATAGATGTACACACATACATTACATTAACATTAACATTAACACTAACATTAACATTAACACTAACATTAACAATATTACATTACATTTACATTGCATTTACATTACATTTACATTACATTTACATTACATTAGATTTACATTACATTTACATTACATTTACATTACATTACATTATATTACATTACACCACATTACAGTACAGTACATTACATTACATTACATACATATAATATCATATAATAATGTGTATATATATATATATGTAAATGTGATACAGCACTAGTAAAGCAAATCCAGGACAGTAACGGTAACACCTGGTACACCTTGAAAGATGTCAGTTGCAGTTTCCAAGTCTTCACCAAGTCAGCAGGAGAGACCCAACAGCTGGATGGTTTATGTTATGGAAAAAACGATATATTTTTCACCATATAGGAATATCCAATTTATGGGTTTCCAAAGTCATGGGGGATACCCCAAGGCCCCAAGCTAGCTGGATACAATCCTTCGATAAAATGGATGATGACTGGGGGTACCCCCCTTTCACCGAGGCTCGGCGGCTTGGCCGCCCTTTTGAAAAGGAACGTGGCTGGCTAAGGAAAGCCCACTTTTTGTGTTGAGCCGGGAACTTCCATTTGGGAGATGTTGGGAGGCTTCCAATAACATGAATTATAGCTATGTAAGACTTCAATATGTTGAACGAAATGGAATACGTCCATTTGCTATGGACTACCGGAGGGTACCCTCCAAAAAAAAGTCATGGATTTCAAGTGCCATGGATCCAAACCATGGCACTAATCACATCGCTGGTTAGTAAATATCTCAGGTACAACAAAAACATAGATATTAAACGTTTAACACAAAGTGGCCCCATGGGGCCCCGCCAGTTATAATTGTGTATAGTCTGATCCCAACAGTTCACTAAGTGATTTCCACAACCTTAGGGCCTACGGCCGTAAGGGGGCACGGGGCTACCTTGAAACTGGCCATGCAGCCGTGGCACATAACCCCAGTTCCACCAAAAGTCGATGACGCCAGAATTCATGGCGCTCTCCTGAACGACTTGGAGATTTGCCACCTCTGGGAGGGTTTTGTTTAAATATCTCATCATTCATATCCCATATTTATAGCAGTAGCAAAACATATCCCATGCTTTGCATAAATATCCCATTATCATGGGCTATTCATGATTTATGCAGGATACATACGCTTCATTCAAGGTCCCAACACAGAAGACAAAACCCGATTCGGTGGATGTTCCATTGGGGAAAATAACAAACACCACCGTAAACATCCGTAAACAAACCAAACTAATTAAACCAACATAGCTATGGAAAATCACAATTTAATGGGTTAATAGGTACACCATCTATAAACGGGCCACTTTCCATAGCGATGTTATACAAATTGCCTACGCACAGGACTGTAAGGCAAACCACAGTTGTAGAAAATTTGGAACTCTAGAAATTCGGATGGAAATTTCATCGAACTACCATTCTGGAAAAATATTCCCTTCATGGGTTGCAACTATTCCATACTATTCCCATTGAAACAACTAGTAAAACCCCACAAAAGCAGTAAACACCAATCAGCAGATGTACTCTATGCTACGCCCAACAACTAGATATGCACACGTGGCGGCATTGACCTCCGCGTTTGTGATCGAATGAATAATGTGATCGACTTTCATATTCCATATTCTCCATGTATGGTATATTATATTTACCTACATTTGGGTGTTATATTGGAGAAAATGTTGGTAAATAGTCCAGCACCATGGAGTTTGTGGGTATTCCAGTATCCCGTTTTTGGACGGATTTTTCTCATTCCATCCCATCCCAGTTGCGTAAGTGACAACCAGCCGAGCGACTAAGCATTGGGGACAATCCGCGAAGGTGTTGGTTCCCACGCCGCAGTGCAGTTTCTCGGGGAGGGCCTCCCCCACCGAGAACGCCCACCACAAACAATCAATGGGACGCCGGGAAACAATATAACCATGGTAGACCATGGTAAACCAGATCTTTCAAACTAAGATAAACAATGACACATTTTGTTTAATGGTATGTTGAAACTTGAAACTACCCAAGGTTTTCCCAGTAACAGCTAAATATATGTTCTCCGTTCATAAAACCCACATTTTCAGGGATTATCCCCCCCATCAAAACGGGAAAATAAAACATGGCAACCACCAGTCACCAATCATGAAACATGCTGAAAGAAATGGCAAATCCATGCAAATCCTCAATGAATTTCCCATGTAGCCAGCCTTGTTGGGATGATTCCCCTAGATCTAAGCCATGATGAACCAGGCTTGAGGACAGGCTTCGGAAGGATGATCAAATTTACCCAGATTTATAGAATTATTTTTTTTATCCCATAGAAATCACCAATTATTATATAACCATGATTAATCACTATTGGCCATTATTAACCATTATTAACATATTAATCATATTATGGATTTTTCCATAGTTCCCAGTTTGCCCATCAAAAGCTCCGTTTTTGATCGGGTTTTCCCAGCCATGACTGCTTCGACAGCGAGATTTTTGGTGCGCCTCACTAAGGAGGGGCCACGCCAGCCAATGCAAGGGGTGACCTGCAAAGCTGAGAACAGGATTTTCCAGATCTAGACATTCTGGTGGTTTGTAAAGGTTTAACTTAAGTGATTAATATGAGATTTTAATGGGAATTAACATAACTTACCCAACAAAGGCATTGATTTTGTTGGGGATATAGAGGGTTTGTAAGAGTGCGTACAACATTTGGTGGGATTAGATTCTATGGGGATATAGTGATATAGCGTAACAAAATTTTTAACCCACAAACTGTGATTTTGGGTGTTCATGAAAATGGTGAAGCAAACCCGAAGTGGTTGTTTCAATAGGGAAAGTGATGATAAAACCATTTTTCATATGTTCCATCATTGTTAAGTGGATTGTGCATTTTTCATATTTATAGTTTATAGTGGATTTTTCCCAAGACATTTTGGGTTTTTGCCCCCCCTATTTTCCAAGAAAACCCATCCGACCCATAAATCCATCCATCAGGGACGGTCAATTGTTGCTCCAGCTGTTCGTTTTCAGGCATAAGAAATTTGAGCTGAACTTGGGATGATGATGATGATGATGATGGTGATGTTCCTTCACAATCATCGATGCCAACGTTTTTTGGTCAAAACATAAACTGATGGAACTACTTGTTGGGAAGGCAATAAGTGAAACCAAAGAATCGCCAACCTCTGAGAATCAAACATGGAAAACACGGCAGGTTTTACGCCAAGGCCATATTTTTTGTTTGAGAAAAACCTGCTTGGTGTTTTCAACCCGTTCAAAAACTCTTTTATAATCAAATTAAGCTCATGATGTATTCCAGAGTAGGCTTGACAATGAAACATTTTTGGAAACATCTTTGAAGCTGCTGGCCGTGGGCAAACCTGACTCCTGCCCTCGGTTTTTCTTCGGCAAGGCGCGCATGGCGGAGAGTTTTTACCGTCGATGGCCTGAAGTCATGGGCAATGGCAAGAATCGTTTTTTGTAAAAAAAAACAAAACAAGGGGCCTTAGCACGGAATTATCATAACATGTGTTTATATACATGTGCATACACTGATCTTATTTAATCTTGTGGTCACAAACCCTTGCCCCTACATAGTATTAAACACCCCACCTCCCACATAAACCGTGCTTTAGTAGGGGATTTACACATATGATGTTCAATGCTGCTCTCCCAGCCTCTGGAGCGCGCAGTTTCCGCAGGCGCTTACAGCATGTTGTTTGAAGGCAGCGACATGTCCTTCCGTACAAAAAGGCGCTACATCATCATAATTGTACTGTGTGGTGGCCAACACAATGAAATTCGACATAGAAATCGAAACACAAAAACCTGCGACTCTACGAAAACAATCCTCTCAAGGTACAACCCATAATCAACACCCGCCAGGATGTTTTGTCCCAGGAGGTGTCCGATTTCTATCCATTCAGAACCAGCCATGATGTGACGCTCCAGTTGTCTTATGTATTGAGGTGCGGTACCTTGATTCAGGGCGGCAGCGTCGGCTAGCAAATCTTTACGTGATAACCGACTAAACACCTGTACTCTTTGGGTTTCCGCAAGCAAGAGCATACGCGAGCCATGGGGTAAACCTATGCAAGTCCAACTAATTTTCGATAAACAATGAGATTTGGCAGTGTGAAAAACCGATTTTACCCAATGGAGCCGAATAGGAGTCAATCATCATAGGTGGTGTCACACTGATATTGCGTATCTGCTGGCCTAAATTCTATATGAAGAATCTCCTAAACCTAACCACCAAACAAACACCTAATCTCGCCAGAGATTCCTGTAACTGTTCTTAAGCAAAAATGAGGAACATCATTGACATCATCCAAAAACCAACCTGGCCAATGTGTGCCACTCTATCTCACTTCAGAAACTTTCAAAATGGCAATGTTCCAGTCGGAGATTGTCGGAGATATATGAGGCACTTCACAAGTTTATACCTGGTATCCAATACCCAATACCCATTCCCCACCTGGTTTCCACGACAACTATCCAACGGGTGTTCTTCTTTGTTTGTCATATATATATAATATATATATATATATATGTACAATGTATATATATATATACAATATGTATATACCCATTTCGTTATATATCATATGTTTGGTTCTATCGTTTGCTTCAGGAACCAAAAGCATGCACACATATCCCATCTATTTCTCATGTCCATTGGGAAAATTGTGCAAAAACAACCTCGGTCCAGACCGCGAATCTTGGTGATAAACACATTCTGTTCCCATCGATCCCAGAAAAATATCCAGTGTCCTAAAAGAATCCCCATTGGAACCCTGGTATTCCCACCAAACAATCCACGTCACCAAAGAGTTCCCAAATGTTCCCAGCATTTCTGCGATCGACCACACATGACCACACGGTGCCACCGGGCTGATGGGAGCGGTGCCATGATGGATACCACAGGGTTTCAGATGGATATTGGGGTTCTGACCTATGATACCTATGATACCTATGAATATGAAAGTCACTGGTGATCGTCATACCACTGTAGCATGGTCTAGGCTGACAGTTCTAAATATGGATGCCAGCATCGCAATCAAATAGCTGGCACATTTGTCTCATATTCCCATGCAACCCCTGCAAATTTCGGCGGCTGCATCTTGTTACTGGCTTAGCGGCGTGTATTTCCTCGCAAGTTGAAACATGTTTTTTCCAAACTGAAGGTGACAAGCCAGTCACTGAGCAAGTAGTTGATAGTTGCTACTGACAAGCATCATGGTGATATCATGATGAATGTAAACGATACAACGTGCCAAAATGACGATTCTTCTTGATCAAATAACATGACACACACAAGAAATTGTAGGAACATGTGCAACATGTGTCAAGATGATTTCCGATGTATAATGTCGCAAACCATGGTAAATCATCCCAAGTTTCTTTTGAATATGGGTGGTAAAAACCATTTCCCACTTAAGGTTAGTTGCATTGGGTTTGCCATGTTACTAGTGCATAGCAACCCCGGCAAAGGTTGAAAAAAAGTGGCAATCAAATCTGTATCAATATTTTAGTGAATAAATCCAAACAGTTCTGCAACTTTTTGGTGGTTCCTGCTAGGTTTTAATCATGCAAACGTAGGAGCCCCGACTATGAAGCACCACCACTCTGTGGATGATGGGCCCACCGGAAATTCAAAAACAGTGGGTGATGACTATCCCATTGCATCCCCCCAAAATTGTTAGTTCTGGTTTGTCTAATATGGTTTAATCATGTTTAATCCTAATTTTGCATCATTTTGCTGGTGAAGAGACTAGATCAATATAAAATGCATGGTCCATATAGAAAACATCTTATCCAACACCACATGGCACAGCAACTCACAGCTACGGAGCTTGCTGACAGATTGGAAATCGCAACGCCTTGCAACGTTGAGAAAACAACGCTGGGGATGCCCCCCTTTTGGGAAGACAGTAACAAGGGATCACTGATCTGATACAAAGTGATGCCAACGAAGTTACTGCGTTAGTTGCCATAAACAGGACGTGGTAAACTAAGAATAAACCATTCTCCAGATCACCATGCTGATGGATGTTGTGTTTAGCATACCCAAAACGGTAGGTCCATGGCAGGTTTCCCACATAAACAATAATTGATAGTAGATATATCAACAAATCATATGGTTAAAGCTGGGGCACCACGCCAGTAACTGACCAGTGAGTCACTGGATTGATGTTGTCAGGAAAACCTGGAAGATTAATCCAATCCCCCGTTCATATTGAACACCCCCATTCTATGGTCCCAAATATGCCGTTTCACCCCCCTACATCCACCATGGTTTCTGGGGCGTGGTTAATACTAGGGGGAATGGATTATATTAAAAGACATAAACCTTGCAGATGTTCAGCTACATATTTATACATATATACAATTTTATACATATATATGTATATATACATATATATATATATACTTACATATAAATACATAACATATATATAGATAAAGGGAGTTCATTACAGGTAGCTCTGGAGCATACCAAATCTGGACATGCAGAAAGTCTCAAGCCTGATTTCATCAAGTCCTTTTTTTGCCCGATAGGCAATTTTGCTTCAGATGGGAATGAGTTGATGATAGCCAAGTCTTTTGCCGTGCCTGTGGTCAAATTCATCCTTTGGTAATCAAACATGGCCAGCTGGAAAATCCCTAAAAATAGAGGTTGCACTAATTACCGTTATACCTGGGAAAATCATCTGTATATATATATATATAAACGATTATAAACGTATATGTATGTATATATATATATATATCCAAAAGGAAGGATTTTCCATTGACATGTTACCGGAGGTAATGAATTCATTGTCACAATGCAGGACCGGGCTCAAGCGTTGGATTTGCTCAACCTGACTGTGGTTAACCGGGATCCACGATGGTTGCCCCTGCGTTTGCAGGACAACATACTTAAGTCGAGAGACATGAGGTTGGAATTTCC